ACACCACCCTCTCCAAACTCGCCATCCACCAACGTTCCCACACGGGCGAACGTCCCTTTTCCTGCCCGGATTGTCCCAAATCTTTCGCCGATCCTTCCGTCTATCGCAAACATTGCCGTGCCCACGCCGGCCATCGCCCTCACCGTTGCGCCGCCTGCCCCAAAGCCTACGTGGAACGCAAAGACCTCCACAACCACCAACGCTCCCACACCGGGGAGAGGCCCTACCTGTGCTCCGAATGCGGCAAGAGCTTCGGCCGCTCGTCCTCCCTGGCTTGCCACCAGCGCATCCACGCTCACCGCAAGCCGTACGGCTGCGGCGTCTGCGGCAAAGCCTTCACCCAGCTCTCCTCCTTCCAAAGCCACCAGCGCGTGCACACCGGCGAGAGGCCGTTCTTGTGCCCGCAGTGCGGCAGGATGTTCTCGGATCCTTCCAGCTACCGCCGGCACCAGCGAGCCCACCAGGGCGTCAAGCCTTACGGCTGCACCGAATGCGGCAAAGCTTTCCGGCAGCCGGCCGATTTGGCTCTGCATCGCCGGAGCCACACCGGGGAAAGGCCTTGGAGGTGCGGGGAGTGCGGCAAGGCTTACAAGGCGTCGTGGGATCTGAAAAGGCATCGCTTGAGTCACAGCGGGGAGAGGCCGTGGCGATGCGGGGAGTGCGGGAAGGGATTCGGGGAGAGGGCGGCGTTGGGGAAGCATTGGAGGACGCATTCTGGTGAACGGCCCTATAGCTGCGGGAGGTGCGGGAAGGGGTTCGGGGGGGCGTCCGGGCTCAGGAAGCACGAGAGGACGCATGGGAAGGGGGAGGAAGGGGGCAAGATGGCGGACGACGCAGGGGGTGCTGGTGGGGGTCCTCTCAGGTGCGGAATGGGTGATGGGGGGCAACTCGGTGGTGCTGTGGTCAGCGTTGGTCAACCTGGTCCCAATATGGCCGCCAGCGTGGGTGGTGACATTGGAGGAGCCAATATGGCTGCCAGTGGCCAACCTGGACCTAATATGGCCGCCAACGTGGGTCGTGACATCGAAAGTGCTACTATGGCCGCCAGTGGCCAACCTGGACCTAATATGGCCACCAACATGGTTTGTGACATTAGAGAAGCCAATATGGCCGCCAGTGGCCAACGTCGACCTAATATGGCTGCCAACGTGGGTTGTGACATCAGAAACACCAATATGGCCGCCAGTGGCCAACCCGGACCAAATATGGCCGCCAACATTGGTCATGACATTGGAGGCCCCAACATGGCCACCAGTGGCCAACCTGGACTCAATGTGGCCGCCAGTGGCCAACCTGGACCTAATATGGCCGCCAGCATTGGTCATGACATTGGAGGCCCCAATATGGCCGCCAGCGGCCAACCTGGACCAAATATGGCCACCATTGGACAGCTTGAACACAATACAGCCACTAGTGGCCAACCTGGCCCCAATATGGCCGCCAGTGGCCAACCCAGTCCCAGTAGGGACACCGTAGGCCAACCCAACCCCAATATGGCCGCCATCAGCCCGAATATGGCGGCTATCAGTCCCAATAGGGACAGCTTTGGCCCCAATAGGGACGTTCCCAATATGGCGGCCACCAGCTCCAACATGGCGGCCACCAGTGGCCCCTTCCGCTGCCCTCTCTGCCCCAAAAGCTTTGGGATGAGGGCGGGGCTTCGCCGCCACCAGCGTCGCCACGGCCACGCCCCCTCCGCCCAGACCACGCCCACCGGAGAGGAGGCGGGGCTTCGCTTAGGCCACGCCCCTTCCGCCCCCCGATAGGGCGGCGTTGGCTCCGCCCACTGCCAGTGCAAATAAAGGGACAAAGGCTGCATGGCGGCTCCTGCGTGTCACCATCGTGTGTCATTGCGTGTCCAGCGGGGAAACACGCGTGTCATCACGTGTTATCGCATGTTATTGCATGTTGTCGCGTGCTATTGCATGTCATCATGTGTTATTGCGTGCTGTTCTGCGTCCAATGAGTCCAGTGTCCTTGCGTGTCATCACGTGTTATTGCGTGTTTTTGCCTGTCTACGTGTGTCACTGCGTGTCACCCTGTGTGCCATCGTGTGTCATCACGTGCCATTGCGTGTCACCGCATGACACTGCGTGTCACTGCATGTCATCACGGGCTCACCATCGCCTGTCACCCCATGTCGCTGCATGTCATTGCATGTCAACGCGTGTCGTTATGTGCTCTGTGTCACCATTGCATGTCATTGCGTGTCATCACATGTCCTCGCGTGTCATCACGCCCTCCATGTCACCATCGCGTGTCACTGCGGGTCATCACGTGTTACTGCTCGTCCCTGAGTGTCATCGCATGTCAACATCGCGTGTCGTCGCGTGTCGTCGCGTCCCCCGTGTCACCACTGCATGTCATCGCATGTCACCATGGGTCACCATGTCTGCTGTGTCGCTGTGTGTCACACTGACAAGGGATCTATGCGCCCATGTGTCCTACTTCCGGTCCCTGCCCCCATGCCGACGTCACTTCCGGTTTCACCCCCTCCCAAACGGAACCCCTTGAAAACGCAGAGTTTTGCGCATGCGCCGCGCCGCTCCATAGCGACCGGGCGATACTTCCGGGTTTTTAGGCCCGCCCACTAGCAACGGGGGCGGGGCGGGATCGCGGGAAGAACGCTGATTGGCTGCTGGAGGGAAGGGGGAGGGAGCGTGGCCTGAAAGCTGAGCGCTGATTGGGCGGAGAGGGGACATCCGGGAACGGAACGGGAGCGGCGGTGCAGGGCGGTGAGTGGGGTCTGTGGGGCTCTATGGGGTCTGTGGGGCTCTATGGGGTCTGCGGGTTCTATGGGGTCTGTGGGGTCCGTGGGACTCTATGGGGTCCGTGGGGCTCTATGGGGTCCGTGGAGCTCTATGGGGTCCGTGGGCTTTATGGGGTCTGTGGGGCTCTATGGGGCTTTATGGGCTCCGTGGGCTTTATGGGGTCTATGGGACTCCATGGGGTCCGTGGGCTTTATGGGCTCTATGGGGCTTTATGGGGTCCGTGGGCTTTATGGGGTCTGCGGTTCTGTTTGTCTCTATAGGGTTTTGTAAATCCCTATGGATCTCTTATGGGTCCCTATGGGAACATAAGGATCCCTGTGGGTTTCCATGGATCCTATGGGGTTCTGTGGCTCCCTATGGGGACATTAGGATCCCTATGGGGTTTTTATGGATCCCTGTGGGGTTCTGTGGGTCCTTATGGGGACATTGGGATCCCTATGGGGTTCTATGGCTCCCTATGGGGTTCTATGGGTCCTTATGGGGACATTGGGATCCCTATGGGGTTCTATGGGTCCTTACGGGGACATTGGGATCCCTATGGGGTTCTATGGGTCCTTATGGGGACATTGGGATCCCTATGGGGTTCTATGGGGTCCTTATGGGGACATTGGGATCCCTATGGGGTTCTGTGGGTCCCTATGGGGTTCTATGGGTCCTTACGGGGACATTGGGATCCCTATGGGGTTCTATGGGTCCTTATGGGGACATTGGGATCCCTATGGGGTTCTATGGGTCCTTATGGGGACATTGGGATCCCTATGGGGTTCTGTGGGTCCTTATGGGGACATTGGGATCCCTATGGGGTTCTGTGGGTCCTTATGGGGACATTGGGATCCCTATGGGGTTCTGTGGCTCCCTCTGATGACACTGGGATCCCTATGGGGTTTTTAAGGGTCCCACGGTGTCTCTTCCAGCCCCCCCTTCCCCTGGTCCCCACAGATCCCATGGCGGAGGCGGACCCCGATGGGCGCCGGGAGGTGGCGGTGGGGAGGGGTCCCCCAGGTGGGGGCGGGGGTCCCCTGGCCCTGCTGAAGGCTCGGGCGCTCGACGTCACCTTCGAGGTTGGGGACGACTACGAGGTCATCGAAACCATTGGAACTGGAGCTTATGGGGTCGTCAGCTCGGCCCGCCGCAGGGACACCGGTGAGGGGGGGAACTTACGGGGTCCCTGTGGGGTCGATGGGGTCCCTATGGGGTCGGTTGGGGTCCTTATGGGGTTGATTGAGGTCCCTATGGGGTCAGTTTGGGTCCTTATGGGGTTGGTTGGGGTCTCTGTGGGGTGAGTTTGGGTCCTTATGGGGTTGGTCGGGGTCTCTGTGGGGTTGATTGAGGTCCCTATGGGGTCGGTTGGGGTCCTTATGGGGTCGGTTGGGGTCCCTATGGGGTCGGTTTGGGTCCTTATGGGGTTGGTGGGCATCCCTAGGGGAGCAGTTGGGTCCCAGTGAGGTCAGTGGGGTCCCAATGGGGTCAGTGGGGTCCCAGTGGGGTCGGTTGGGGTCCCTATGGGGTCAGTTGGGTCCCAATGGGGTCAGTGGGTCCCAGTGGGGTCCAGTGGGGTCAGTGGGTCCCACCAGTGGGGTCAGTTGGGTCCCAATGGGGTCCGTTGGGTCCCAGTGGGGTCCAGTGGGGTCAGCAGGGTCCCAATGGGGTCCATTGGGTCCCAGTGGGGTTAGTTGGGTCTCAGTGGGTCCCAGTGGTGTCCATTGGGTCCCAATGGGGTCAGTGGGTCCCAATGGGGTCAGTGGGTCCCAGTGGGGTCCATTGGGTCCCAATGGGGTCAGTTGGGTCCCAATGGGGTCAGTGGGTCCCACCAGTGGGGTCAGTTGGGTCCCAATGGGGTCAGTGGGTCCCAGTGGGGTCCAGTGGGGTCAGTGGGTCCCACCAGTGGGGTCAGTTGGGTCCCAATGGGGTCCGTTGTGTCCCAGTGGGGTCCAGTGGGGTCAGTGGGTCCCAATGGGGTCCGTTGTGTCCCAGTGGGGTCCAGTGGGGTCAGTGGGTCCCAATGGGGGTCAGTGGGATCCCAGTGGGGTCAGCAGGTCCCAGCGTCTCCTGTGGGGTCCCTGTTGGGTGAGCGGGGTCCCAATGGGTTCAGTGGGTCCCAGTGGTGTCCATTGGGTCCCAATGGGGTCAGTTGGGTCCCAGTGGGTCCCAGTGGGTCCCAGTGGGGCCCGTTGGGTCCCAATGGGGTCAGTGGGTCCCAGTGGGGTCAGTTGGGTCCCAATGGGGTCAGTGGGTCCCAGTGGGGTCCATTGGGTTCCAGTGGTGTCCATTGGGTCCCAGTGGGGTCCGTTGGGTCCCAGTGGTGTCCATTGGGTCCCAATGGGGTCATTTGTGTCCCAATGGGGTCAGTGGGTCCCAATGGGGTCATTTGTGTCCCAATGGGGTCAGTGGGTCCCAATGGGGTCAGTGGGTCCCAATGGGGTCAGTTGTGTCCCAATGGGGTCAGTGGGTCCCAATGGTGTCCATTGGGTCCCAATGGGGTCAGTTGGGTCCCAGTGGGGTCAGTTGGGTCTCAGTGGGTCCCAGTGGGGACCATTGGGTCCCAATGGGGTCAGTTGGGTCCCAATGGGGTCCATTGGGTCCCAATGGGGTCAGTTGTGTCCCATTGGGGTCCCAGTGGGATCAGTTGGGTCCCAATGGGTTCAATGGGTCCCAATGGGGTCAGTTGGGTCCCAGTGGGTCCCAGTGGGGTCCGTTGGGTCCCAGTGGGATCAGTGGGGTCCCAATGGGTTCAATGGGTCCCATTGGCTCCTGTGGGTTCCCCCGGTGTGATGCGGGGGTCGCAGGGCAGGCGGTGGCCATCAAGAAGATCCCAAA